TTTTTTTTTTTTTTTTCCTTTTATTTTTTAATTTAAAAAATTTTTGTTGTTGTTGTTGTTCCGGGGCAGAAGCAGCTCCGCAGCGGACCCCTCGCTTAATTCTTCAGCAAAGGCTGAGACGAGCCAGGAGAGCCTCCAGAGGGGAGGGGACAACGTCCCCGTGACGTGTCCTCCCTACCATGCACCCAAATAGAGAGGGGCAGAAAGGAGCCGCAATCAGCGCCCGCCGCGGGACGGAGGCCGGGCCGGGGAAAGGGGGGGGGGGGGGGGGGGGGGGGCGGCGGCTGCTACGACCCCGAACCCGCGGTGCCGGGGGGCCCCTATCCTGCTCCATGCGGGACCTCGCGTTTGGGCCTCCTTAGGCACCGGGTAAAAAGGGGAGAGAGATACAGGAGCGTAGGCGCAGCCGTAGAGATGTATGAGTGTACCATGCGTGGAGCACCACGTACACATTATAGATACACTGTATATAGGACCCATATAACACGTCTGCGTGCACGAGTGTATTTATAAACATATTTCCAAAGGACACATGCGCACACGTGTTTATTTATTACTTATGTATTACGTATATTGCATTATGTATTTATTGTGTGTTTTATAATATGTATGTAGTATATATGTATAGTATGTGATATATATATATAGTATAAAGACACACCTTGCATTGCTCTTTACAGTGCCGGGGGCTCAGTGCTTCTAGTCCTGCTGCACTGCAGTCCCCTCCGCTGCTGTCCTCCGATCCCACTCGACAATTCTTCTCCCAGGGTACGAAACCCCCACGGAGAGAAGGGTGCGAGGAGCAGAGGGGACACGGGAGGCGCTTCCAACGGGATCAGCCCGGTCCCGGTCCCGGCCACGGCCCTGCCTTGGTGTGGCCCCAGGAGGGCCACAGGCTGTCACCCCCCGGGCCACCCACTCGGGGCTGTCCCAGCGAGGCCGAGCCCCGTGCTCGCTTCGCTTTTGCACTCCCGAAGGCCGGTGCATCCCGACGGCACGGAGCAGCCCCGGCCCCGCTCCGTAGGGTCACTCCAAGACACCGCCTCCCCACGTCGAGGAACAGCGATTTGAGGGAGAATTGCGGCTCTGGGGAATGTTTTTGCCCTCCGTCCGGGGGGAGGGTGTGTGTGTGGGGGGGGTTGGAGTTGTCAGCCCTGGGCTGGCCTTGGGGTCAGAGAAACCCGTGGAAAGCGGCCGCTCTGGGAGAGGCGATCCCTGCTTTCCCCTTCTGCTGTCGTCTTTCTGTCCTTCCCGTGGAAGCGGGGACACTCCCGCACCTCGCAGATGGGAACGGAGGGAAATGATCCGCTCCGAACTCCGCCGCCCCGTTAGTTTTCTTTCGGCCGCGACTTTCGCCGAGAAACCCAAAAACACTGAGAGCAGCACACCATCAGTTGAACAAAAACTTCAGCGTTTGGAGGAACTTTCAAAATTCAGCCCAACCTCCACCCGCCGCCGAAACCGGACCCGTTCGAAGAGGTAAACCATTTAACCGGGAAAAGAAATACAAAACAAAACCAACCAACCGAACAAACAAAAAATACCCCACGACAAAATGTAAATGAGTCACACGCCAAAAAAAAAAAAAAAAGTATATACATACATATAAATATGTATATGTATATATATATATAATAAGGAGTGCCCTGCTGGGGCCGAGGGGGGAAACTTTGGGGATAACGCTGCTGAATGCAGAGTCGGGGAGTGCAGGAGAGCGATGCGGGAGAGCGGTCCGACAGAGTGAGGCGGCTTATGGGGCTGGGATCGTAATACGGAAAGGGGGAAAAATGCAAGAAAAAAAGGCAAGAAAAAGGAAAAAAAAAAACAAAAACAAAAACAAAACAACAAGAAAAACAAAAGGAGAGATGTAAGCTAAAAAGGACACGGTTATTGCTGCCCCGGCTTGCAATACGCAGCTCCGGGAGCGCCGCTGAAGTGCTCGGTGGCTGTGGGGTCCTTCGGGGAGGGGGTGCCCGTTTTAAACTCAACACGGGGCACGAAAAGAAAGGAGTGACGATAACGAAAACAGTTCCTGATTGATGTGTTCCGATCCCGTTTTCAAACACACTCCGCTGTTTCAAAACGGGTCGGGAGCACAAAGTAAGTACCGTTATATACTTCTGCCGTGATTTGAGGGGAAGCTCTTCCCCGTCTGGGGATATTTCTGCCTCAGGTGAATTAGTACTGAGGAGTTGGGTTTTTTTTCCTCTTTTTCTTTTGTTCTTTTTTTTTTTTTTTTTTTTTTTTTT